CGATGGAGCGTGAGATCATCGGCGTATCCTGTCAGAAATTTCAAGACCTGCTCAGTACCGAATAGGTCAACCAGAGAGCGGAAAAGGTCACCTGTAAGGAACGAGAAGAGAGTGGGGGCGAGCTTACATCCTTGTTTTATGCCTGCTGTGGTTTCAACAGAGGTGGAATCTCCCTGCGCGTGAAGGACATAACGAGACCCGTCATGTAGAGCCTGAACGAGGTGGACTGTGTCCTGATCGGCCCCTTCTCTCTGAAGAAGGTCGATGATCTCTTGGCGAGAGACTGTGTCAAACGCTTGGCTTAGGTCAAGAGCAAAGGTGAGGCCGCCAACTAAGGCTGGGGCCTGTGTGCCTTGTTGCAAGGCATGTCTCGTGGGGTGGGCCTGTTCTAACAGGGATCGAGCCTCACGCAAGTGATGCACCACGCGTTCTAGCGCGTCTGACAGCCCCCGACCTGGTAGATAAGCGAACTGTGGCATGTGCTTGAGGAACGAGAGGGTCAGTGGTTGAAGCGCTTCTCTGGCCGCTCCCGCCAGTCCCTTAGCGTCAGGTCTAAGGATACCCAAGGGTCTCAAGTTTGCTGGTTTGTCAGAGGGCTTGCCCGGCTTGGGAATTAAGCAGAGATCAGCGTCTACGAGGTCGGATTCAAGGCTGTCCTCGGCCTGCTTGGATGCTACGTGTTTTGAGAGGATCGGTGCAACGATGTCGCTACACAGTCTCCACACAGCCGCAGGTGCCGCTCCGTCAGGAACAGCTTTATTAGGCTTGATGGAATGTATGTGAGCTGCTAGTTTGGGCGGCTCCAAAACAGGGAAAGCTCCATGCATTGTCCGTAACGGAGGGTGGGCCGCAAATACCTGATTGGCATAGTCCCTGAGGGCTGCTAGCTCCTGCGCTGGACCCAGCAAATGTCCTGTGTTGTCCTTTAGCTGAGCTCTGCGCGCAGGCTGCCAAGGCTGCAGCTTTTTGAGGGTCTGAAAGGAGATATGTTGGTCACCTTCAGCCAGACACGCGTCCACCTCCGATATGAAACTCGCAATCCTATCTTTCTTTGCTTGTTTCACAGCCTGGCGGTGTGCCACTTGCGCCAGCTCAGCTTCGGTGTCCGGCGGACGTGGCGTGTTCTGATTAGGAGGCTGTGCCATTGCTTTAGGTGACTCGATCAGCTGTGCTGAGGGAGCTGTGTTCGCAACCCTGTCATGGGTGCGGGCCCGCCACATGCGACGGGTTTCCAACTCCAGCGGGATCGGTCTGCGTTTGGGAATTTTTGGAAAAAAGCGTTCTGCACCTTCCAAAAGCAACGCATTCCATGCCTTGGGGTCCTGGCAGGTGTCAATTCTGGAAGCTATCCAGCTGTGCAGTGCCTTTGCCGTCTCGTCCTCCTCTCTGACCGAGGCCTGTAGAGCTAGTGAATCGTAACGGCGCGTGCTGGGCTTATGGGATGGGAGCAGCCAGTGATGCTGGAGGGGTACGTCAGCTTTAAGCGGGTAATGCCCTCCTTTCTTCCAGCTTCCCAACGGGCAGTCCACCCAGGGGGCTGACCTTTTTGCTTTGCCTCCCGCCGTAGATTCTTTGGTTAGAATGAAGTCAATTTGCGACTCCACTCCTCCTTGTGAGAAGGTAGCTATATGGTCACATTGCCAGGTGTTAAGGGCAACCAAACGCAACCTGAGCAGCAGGTTAAACAAGTTGGATTCGTCAGGGCGGTCCTCAGTGGGTGGCTTCACGTGCGTTCCCACCAATGGAGAGCTCGGACGCAAGGAAGTGTTAAAATCACCTGCTACAATAAGGGAGTCCCTCTTAGGCACCTGCTTGATCACCTTGGACATGACAGATAGTACCTTAGCACGGTCATCCTTATTGGACTGGATGGTCTTGGCAGAAGACCAAGCGTGTTGATACACCGCGACAACAACCAGCCGAGTACCTGCAATGTCTGCACGAGCTTCTAAGACCCTACCCGGGCTCCACTCCTTCCAGCGTAAGCTCTTGGGGGCGAACTTGGGCGAGAATAGGATCATGACTCCATCAGCGCGAGTCGTGGATGGAGCTCGCGGTTCTTGCCGAGTGTTACGCTTCGCTGCTTGTTTAGGCCGGGTGTTTGGTTTGGTAGACTCCGAGGCTGAGGAGATACAGTACCACCCAGAAACGCTGAATTCACTGGTCTCAGTCCAGTGCGTTTCCTGTAATATGAGGACGTCACAGTGATGAGAGGCTTCAGCTGCTAGCCACGTTTTGAGTTCGCCCCATTGCTGTTGGCCTAGGTGTCCCGCGTTCCACGAAATAACTCGAATGGATCTTTCCAACCGTCCTGCCCTGCGGGAGGCTGTGCCATATGCAGGGGAGTCAGCAGTCTGTGACTGAAGCTCTCTTCGAGTGGGTGGGGGGCGTACCCCCAGACGATCAACCAGGGTAGGTGTCAGAACCTGCCCTCGGTATGGTACGGGCCCGTCACTACGGACTGTCCTTCTACATGCTGTCTTGAACGAATTCTTACGAAGAGATGCAAAGTTTTGTGAGTGCACTGGCAATTGCGCCATCCGCTACTTTCGTCAAGAGACAGAAGCCTAATGACTCCCTCCACCGCGCGGAGGTGGAAACCCTACCGCCTACCCAGTGTTGCAATGTTTTAAACAGAGTCTGGGCCCAGGAATTGGGACCTGGCGGCTCAAAGCAGCTCCTGTGAGAAAAGGCAGAGGACCATGGCGTAGAAGGAGGCACAAACCTTTACTGTTCAGAAAAGGGCCCGGTTGGAACCTCTAGCACAGCAGTTGCGCCCCAAGCCTGTTCGAAACCTCTCATTCAGCGCGGCCGCTTGAGCACTTGTGGCGGCTACTACAACTACAACAACTACTACTACTACTACTACTACCACCAGCACCACCAACACCACCACCACGACTACTACTATTGCTGCTACTACTGCTACTGCTACTGCCTGCTGCTCCTCTTACAAACTCTTCATCATCCCCGAGAGACATGGCAACTGGGTCGGCGACAGCACACACGTCAGCACCGCGCGGTCATGGAAGGTGGCGGACCGCTGGCGTGCCTCGCCGCTGGCAGTTCGGGCTGTACGCATCAGGTCTTCATGACCAGGACCCGCACTGCTCATTTACGGGTTAGGGGTGAACCTGGCTGCTTTCCAGCGGTAGCTGGAGCCTGTGACAAACGATGTACCCGCTTCACCAAGCCTGCTTGAGCTGGAAGCAAAGCTAGGACAAACTTTGTAGTTGCAGTTGTAATATTGGTACTACCCGATACCCCAACACACTAGTGTGATTAAGGCCGCTATATCATAGAACCCATGCGGTATAGAACCCAAAAGCAACTTACAGAACCCTTTAAAGAGCCCTGGCTATAGGGTTTTGGGGGTCTTTTGCCATGTTTATGACGCAGGGATTGCTTGTCATGGGCGGGCAGGGACGAGGAGGAACAGGAGTCGAAGGAGGAAGATCTGTCACGATGATAAAGACGACTCGCGAACAGGTGTGATGATGACTGTGACCATGTTGGTGACGGCGTATTATGATGATAGTGGCGACGGTGACGACGAAGAGGATGGCCATGACGTGAAGATACAACGGCGATGACACCACCATTGCTACCGTCTGTGAACATGCTACTTCTGTCATTGAAGCAGCTTAAGCTTTATTAGCCATATAATCTGCCGACTTTGCTGCACGTGTTATGGACTGCTTCATGGCCTCCATAGGTCCGTAAACGTAGGCGACAGCCTGGCACAAGCATAAGAAGCACGCGATCGCAAACAGGATTTAATCCAGTACTGGCGGTAGTGGCAGTGGCAGTAGCAGTACTAGAAGCAGGAGCAGTAGGAATAGTAGGAGGAGTCGGAGTAGTAACAGTAGTAGCAGTACGAGAAGTAGTAGGAGTAGTAGGTCGGAGGAGTAGGAGTAGCTGGAGTAGTGGGAGTAGAACCAGTAGTAGGAGTAGTAGTTAGGAGGGGTAGTAGTACTAATACTACTGCGACTGCTGCTGCTAGTGCTGCGACTGCTGCTGCTACTGCTGCTGCTGCTACTGCTACTGCTTCTGCTACTACTGCTACTACTGCTGCTACTACTACTACTACCACTACTACTGCTACAACTAGAACTTGTCATTCTGGTTGTTGGTTTGTGGCTGTGGTCGTGGTAGCCGTCGTCGTAGTCGTCGCCGTAGTCGCAGTCGCAGTCGTAGTTGCAGTCGCAGTCGCCGTTTCTTCGTCGGTCGTTTTGTCGTCACTGTGCGCAGCTGCAAAAATGAACAGTGTGAGAAATGATTGCTTTGGCAACACCAACTGGAATATCCGCGCATAACAACAGCAAAGAAAACAACACTTGTAGTAATCACTGTCTGAGTGAGAATTCGTAAGAAGAAAACCACCTGCATCACCACATTCTCAAAAACAACAAAAAGACGACAAAGAGTAGTCAACACCAAAGTGAGGCTAGCAACAGGATGACGGTCATGTCCATGAGACGAATGACGGCTTGATGGTATACTATATAGTAAGTACAAGCTTATATGAATGCATATCAGGACATATCACAGTATGTGAACAATAGAGTGTTCCAGCATACACACTCGTGGCTGGAATCGGAACAACTTTCCGCTAGCTCCGATACCTTGAGGGTTGAGGGTGTATGAACTCGGAAACCCAGGTTGAGTGCTAAACATTCGCATAAATCACAAGCATCTCTACAGACCTTCCAGGGGCCCTGAACCCTTAGACCTGAGCCTGTCAAGACCGGAGAAGGAGCTGCTGGAAAACAAACTTGTTGAATCAGGGTCATCGACATGATGGCGATAACCCTCATCATCATCTTCGTCATCTCAGAATCTAATGCTTCTGGGTAGGGGCATGGCACATGCAACGGCAGCCAGCAAGCATGACAACAGCTGCTGGGCTAAGTGGGATACAGACGAAGATGCCTCGGAGGAGGAGCAGAAGGAAAACTTGAAGCACACAGCTAAAACAGAAACTGGACGACCAGAGAGCATTAAGACTCCGCCTTTGTACTGCCAAGCTCGAAGACTGCATAGCCATCAGCCTCGCCCCGGCCACCACCTGAGAGCTGAGGCTTGAGGCTTGAAGTTGTCGATTCAGTACTAATAATAAATAGTAATAACAATCATAATAACAATAACAATAAATACAAAGGGCTTAGGGTTTAAGCCTTTGCTTGGCTGTAAGGCTAGTAGGGTTAACAACCACCACCACACGAGAGATCCCCAACCCTTCTTTTCCACGGGACCGAATATGCTACCCACTGTTTGTCATAGCAACAGCAAGCCCTCATGCCTGGACCCTTCACGACAGCGAAGCAGAACACGCAAAAGCCTTCAGCAAACAGCTTGTTCTACAAACTACAAAACAAAGCAGACCACAAAGAAGCGAGAACAGAACCTTTCAAAAGACCGCATCCCTAAACCCTCAACGCTAAACCGAGCCCCCCCGCTGCCAACGCAGCATTGGAGGCCCCGGGGCTCGTGGACCCGGCGGCCGTCGGCGCGGAAGCCTTCGGGGAACAAAAAAAGGAGCCAAAAAGGAGCATTACGGTTTAGGATTGCGATTTAAAGCGTTTAGGGTTTAGGGCTCGGGATTGAAGACTTGACGACCTTTTGGGTGCCACCCCAGAACTCATTCGAAGTTCGATGCTGATGTTTCAAGAAATAAGGGCCAAGCTAGGCATGTAGCATCTCCCAAACTTCCGCAAGCCCAAGGTGAAAGGTATCGACGAAATAATCAGAACATAGCCTTGAGGAGATGCATGGGGACCGAAAACAGAACCTACTGCCAGGTCGGCTTATGCTCTCACACCCCACCACCCAGACGAATGACGCACCTTCTGGCGTAAGCACTTCCGTGCCCATGCTCGCGGCCAGTAGGAGGGAACTTGAGAATGCAGGGCTGGGGATTTCTTGGTTTAGGCTAGGGGAGTAGCGGTTTTTGGGCTGACTTCATCGCCTCGGCCGTGAGGCACCGGCTGTTGCATGGTGGTGTCAAATGAAGCCTTGTGGGATTTCGCGTTTAGGATTTGTGGCTGAGGATAGGACTACCTGCAATGACCAGAAAACAATAAGCTCTCGAGACTAGGACGATCCGAATTGAATGCAACCTCCGCTAGTCCCACAGCTTAAACCTTTAGAGTTCAGACTCCCGGATTGCTCCATCCAGCCATGTGATTTGCACTCCTTGAGCCAAGTCCGTGCAGTGGTCTTTTCTCGGGTCTCGAGCGCCCAGAGCTTTACGTCAACCTGAAGGCCCTAACGCTGAAACCCCTTAGCCCCAAAACACCGAAAACCCAAGGCCGTGCTTTGGTCGTCGGGTGAGCGGCCGGGCTTCAGGGTTTCAGTCGAGCCTGGGGCCTAGGCTCTGTCTTTGTTTGTGCTCCCAAAACTCCCTATCGGATTCTGCTTTGGGGCATTAGGATCACTCCGAAGCTGGTGTCTGCTTGACCCTCTGAGCCCGCAACCGGGAAAATTCTTATGGCTTGCCTGTCCGGTTTCATGGTTTGGGCTTAAGGTTCCGGGTCTGGGACTTCAGGTTCAAAGTAATTCGATATTGTTGAGTGCCGTGCTGCCAGATACTCGCATGTCCAGTCTATAAAGCTTTGGTTCAGCCATTAAGGTTTCGGCTTCCCTTTGTAGAGGACGTAGATTCCATAACGTTCTTTCGTCTCCTATATTTCACCTCAGGTAATTAACCTCAAGTGGCATTTGCAGCAGGGGGCCTAAGTTGAGGGCTTACGGAAGAAGAAGTGGGAGTTTCCGAAAACATGGGACCCTAATGTAGTACCCTGAATAGTAGGACCCCAAGTGGATGGATTCCGATCTTTTAACCTGGCGCGAATCTCCATGAATTCGTGTCAAGACGGGAGTTCCTCCATTGACGAAAGCCATGAGGGCCTCTGAGGTCTACAGCCTAAACAGAGGGTCTCAAGAGGAGCCCCAATACGGACCCCTAAAGCACAAGCGGGCCCACCCCAAACTCTAAACAACACTCGAATCGGGTTTAAGGTTTAGGGAACCCTAACTAAACCAAACCTCGAAACCCCCATCCCCCCAAGGGGACCACCATGTATGAAAGGAACTCCCAGAAGGAGCAGGCCCTCTTCCATCGAAGATATAGATGCCTTCCCTTCCGTTCAACGCGGCAACGCAGCCTAAAACCCCTGGGCTTAGAGTTTTCGGCTTAGGGTGCAGGGGTACGTTTCCGGTCGGTGGTTTCTAAAGTCCTGGCGTTTCGGAAAAGTCGTTGTCTTTCTTGAATGCAGGGCACATAGGGTGTTAGATTCAGGCTGAAGGGCACAAGCAGAGAAAGCTCCGAACCAAGGGCTGGCTCTCCACCAGAAAAAATCCCTACTTACCGCCTTCCCCTTGCCCTTGAAGTAGACAATCCTTAAACTACGGCGGAATGGGTGAGACTCTTGCTTTCCCCACGACGATGAGCTCTGTGGGTGTGTGCCACCTCAGTTGCAAAAGGATGACGTGAAGAGATGCGAGGGCAGGACAGTGTTCCTGTTAGAGGTTCTTCAAAGGGTTCTGTACGGGCTATTATAAGGGTTCTATGTCATGGGGGGCAGTGATACTTAGAACAGAATGTCGGAATAGAGCGTCTACTACCAAACATGTAGCGTCTGCCTTAGGGTTAACCCTAAACCCATAAGTGAGGGATTGAGGCTTTCAAGCTCGGGGTTTAGGCTGCGGGGCATTCGAGGTGAAGCCTGGATGGTTTGATCTTAATATGGGGGCCTTCATAATTAGAATAGGGTTTTCCCGCCCTTTACTAAGTTATATAAGGAACCCCCAAAATAGTATACGTAACTATTTAGGCCCTATAGTACCCGAATCTTCCCACGAATTCTGGAGCCCCTTGCCACCTCTTCGAGGCATCTTTTACTGCTGTCAGTGGTATTTCAACTACCGATGATGATGATGATGATGATGATCACGACGACGATCATCGCCATGACCACGACCATGATGACGATGACGACGACCACGACGACGATGATGATGATGATGCTGAGCAGGTGGAGAGGCAGATGAGGATGACCAGTGCAACCAGCATCACAACCACCGGCATCACAACCACCACCAACAACACCACCGCAAACACCAGCCGACCACAGCTGTTGCTGTCGTCTTGCGTCTTGCCACTATTCTTCATTGCTGTTGCGCCGACTAGTGGTAAGAAACGGGCTTGGGCTCAGTGCCGGAATGCTGCCTGGACGCAAGTTGGGATCTCCACCCAGACTGGCAGGACATTGCCAAATGTCCGTGATCGTCACGGCTTCGTTCATCACCTGACCGTTGAGGCTTTAGGGTCTTGGGGTTTAGGGTCCGGGACTCCGCACCCTAGACACCTGAATCGGGGGTTAGGATCTCAGGGCTCAGACTAGGACAGGAGATTCTGGGTATGGGCCGGCTGGCACTCGAGATGAGGCATGATACCACACTTCTTGTCGGTTTCAGAAGATGCCTTGAAAGACAATGCAACTCCGAGTCAGGCATCCTGAAGTCTACGTATACTGTAGGGTCTAGGGTATAGGGGCTGGAAAGGGGTTAAGGGTTTAGGGTACAGGGGCTTAGGACTCATGTTCCGTGGTTCGTCTAACTCCAAAAGCTTGGGACCATGATTCTGCATAACTGGTGGTTGCTCTGTTCCGGTACCCAACTAACTCCAAACCCTGTAACAATTGTTAGCACTATGGCCTGAACAAACTTCGCGGCGTAGTGTTGCGCCAGCTGCAAGAGCGCCCAGGAACGCCGCAGGCACTCCGAAAATTTCTCAACCTCCCGGGACGGCGAGGAGTGAGAATATTCGCCGGTGTCCTTTGCCTTTGTTGGGGCATGGTGGGGTGTAGCGAATATAGGGGCCTTAATATCAGAATGAAGCTCCCAGGGTTCTTTGCAGAGTTCTGCCAAGACTAATCGCTCAATGAGGGTTCTGTGATATAGGAGTCTGAATAATTACCAGACTGTTTGCTGGTATATGAAAGTATGTAGAATTAGCCGGGCGAGGGATTTAAGACGTACCTTTGCTTTCAGCCAAAAGCAGAGGTTTCTTGTGTCAAACAACGAATTGTTAACCGACATCGGGTGTTTACCATAAAATCAGGTGGTGAAGCTAAAATACCTAGGCCCCGCACCCGGTATAGGTGTGTTTGGTAAGTCTTTAGTGCCGTGTCATTGGTCAGTTGTTTGGGTTTCAGGGGTTAGAGTTTGAGAAATGTGCCCAGCACCCAGGGACCCAGGGGCGTCTTAAGTATTCGGCCGTATTTAAGAGCCAGACAGTGGGTAATTCAGTGGGATTGTAATAAAGAAGCAATAGGAAGGCTTTGTCAGAGCAGAGCTTGTGTGGAGTCTGTAAGGACCCCGAGTAAGGTGGGAATTGCAAGGAAATCCGCGCTTTGTAGACACTCACAGGGGAAACAGGGGGCGTCTTGAATCCCGCGCCGGCCTAGAATTATATAGGGCCTAGCCCGAAGTACCAAGGCCCTGAACGTTACAATCCCAACATCCCAAAACGTAGAGACCCACAGCCCTTTCAAAACCCTTATAAGATCCGTTCAAGACTCTTACGAGACCCTGAAAAGTCAATAAGACCCGTGCAAAGCCCTCGTAAGACCCTTATAAACCCCTTAGCAGACCTTCTGAAACCCTTTAAAAATTTAATGGCCCTGATTAACCTCACAAGCACAGATCTCCCATGGATTAAGGGCAACTTCTTTGAGTTAAACTATGGATCCGGATCATGATAAACGGGACATTTCGTAATTGACGGATTTTGGGGTCTCGACATGCCCCGAGACCCTATGTCTGCTGCTAGATCGTTGCAGCTGTCTCCTGTCGCCCCACACCAAACTGAACCCCCCTAGCTCAGTACTGAGCGCTTAAACGGGAATGCCATCAGCTTTGAAAGCTCCCAATCCGCCAATTTTCCTGCAAACCCTAACGATAAGACCCCGTTGTGGCAAAAGACTGCTAAAAACCCTACCATACTGTAGCAATGCCCCCTGAACCCTAAATCCTAAACCCTAAACCCTAAACCCTAAACCCCTTAAACAACCCGATAACACCCCCGCCTGCAGCCGCACGTTCACGCTCGCTTCGGTGGTCACCAGCTCCCCGAGGTGCAGCCAAGGGCACCAGAGGCCCATCTCGGCCACCCATCCTTCGGAGATCTTTATCGTGATACAAATGCGCGCATATGTATATATATATATGCATATGTACATGCACACAGGTATGTATGTATGTATATTGTGTACATAAATATATATTATACACACACAGACGTAAGTGCCATACATGCTCACATGCACTTGTGCATTGCATAGCACGGCATAGCATAGCCTAGCATGGCGTAGCGTAGCATAGCATAGCATACATGCATACACGCATACTTTCTAGTTCCTTTACCATGCACATCCCTTCATGTTTGGTAGTATTTATACACCTGCAAACCCTTCATTGGGTAGTTTCTGAGTTTTTTATTCGTTTACCTAAAAATTTGCCTGCACACCTAATGGTTTTATTCAGGCACATAATTATTTATTGGTTTGTCGCTCGGTTGTTGGTATTTGTCTATTTACCTGTTCGGGTATTGTAAGAATCACAAGCCTGGTTGTACAGGGTCTTTCTCGTGTGCGCAACAATCCCGACGGGCTTGTCGCACTTGATTCCATTGTGCTAGCACGGACCTCTTCCGGAGTAGCGAGCGCCACTCTTTGCACCGTTCGAAATTAACCCTAAACCCCATTCCCGACGAACCAAAGGTAAGTCACAAGAACGCAGAGTTCCGGGAGCAAGGGCTTTAGAGGCCGCGGAACGATCGGACACCGGCTGCCGCAGCTGCCCGAGGTTGT